TTCCCATCCAGTGACTTTGAAACTTGATCACCAGATAAATGTGATAGTTTCCTATCATCCTTAATAATTTTATATATTTTTAAACATGCTTTGGTGTTTTATGATCTTTAACCATTCATAAGATTTTTATAAATTTGAATTAGTTTAGCTTACAGAAAACAGTTTTTGGTCAACACCACAATAAGTTCTAAATAACTGTATTGAACTATATTGATTCAGGTCACTAAAATTATGCAAATTGCTATTTTTTCCATGTGCTGCTCCCTATCGGTGGAAATGGATTAACTCGGCAGAAATATATTGACTATATTATTGCTTATGTGAGTTTATTTTCTCCCTCAGGTGCAGCTATTTTCTTTGAATTCAAACACTATAAGCCTAAGAAAAGGTTTACCAGCACCAAGTGTTTTGCTTTCATGGAGATGGATGAAATTAAACCTGGGCCGATTATAATAGAACTGTAAGTGATATGCATGTAAATTAATATTTGTGTAGTGGCATCTGAGTTACATACCTGTCTAGATACCTCCCCTGTTAAAAAATAATGTGGTTCTCTGTAGAGCAGAGTCAGAATCCTAAAACTTTGGTACCTTTCAGGTGCTAAAAATTAATCTTCATTACCTTGAAAAATTAGTTACTGAAGTTTCTTTACAATATGTCTTCTGTTGTGGTTCCAGATACAAGAAACCCACTGACTTTAAAAGAAAGAAACTGCAGTTGTTGACCAAGAAACCACTTTATCTTCACCTCCATCAAACTTTGCACAAGGAATGACCATGGCATGTATATCCTAAAACTTCTGTGATCTGAACCCCTCACTGCAAAGTCATGGTAGCACATTGATCCTTCAGTAGGCTCCTAGGAAACCAGCCCTCCTCATGCCAATAAATGAAAAGTGTGATCTGTTCTACAGCCACACCACAGAGATGTTTACAGTCCAAGACATCAATGGAGACCAGGAGGACTGCACTCATTCATAAAGAGCTCCTTTAGCATACAGGTTTTTCCACAGATTTTTGAAACAGTCTTTGATTTGTGAGTGATTTGTGTACATGGTAAAGGTTAAGTTTTAAATTTATTTACTACAGCAATTAACACCAGAGCAAGCAGGAACACGCCTGGCTCCCCTGTGCAGGATTTACTCCCCTAACTCAGCCCTGCTTCAGTGCACTCCTTTGAATCCATGTGTTTATTTCCAGGTCTTTACTGCTTACAGTAATTATCTAATGCAAGAGAAATTTGCTAGGTACCAGAATTGGTAAACTTGTAAAGAGTTTCTATCAGGGATGGCTCACCACTCACCACCACCAAGTGATCAGTTACGGGGAAGCTGCAGAAGAATTCATGACTTTACCATGAACATAGTTCACATCTCATGGGGGGAGGCTTGTTTTCCAGATTTCAGCAGCCCATTTACCAAATGACTTGAGGTAAAACTTATCTGAAGAGCTGGATTCTTTTTAAGTATTTAAGGGAATGGTGACCTAGGTTTCATTTTTTCTTACTCAAAAGTTCTTCCTCTGCTAAGGGATTCTAAAATACAAGGTATCTAGAGACTATCCAAATAATTTTGATTTTGTGACAGTGTTCAGCTGCTGTGATGTGGTTGAAATAACCTTTTGTATGGTTCTAAGCTGTCTAGTCCAAAAATGTTTGAATTCAGTCAGTTCCCTAAAGATACCTGCAGGAGTTGTTGCTGTTTTTCTGAAAACTGATTGTGAATCCTTGAAAAACCTGCATACCTCTTACAGCAATTTGTATGCAAGTCTGGAAAGTTATTCTAAATTTTGTTTCTGAGATAGATAGCTAGGATTACCATTTATTTTCTATTAAGATGTATTAAGTCATCTAAATGAAAAGATGCAGGTCATTAGCTTATAATTTGAATATCTACATAATTTTTTTACTTAATAAAGGAACATAAATAAAACCCAAGCAGACCTTTCATATACTTAATAAGTGGGATATTTAATACATTCCTTTAAGGTCTGTTGTGTGCTTTATGTGGACTATATGTAGTATATGCACATACTTTCATATGCACTTATATAATAAGTAAAAAAAAAAAAATCCAGCACCGAGTGAATGCATTGTCAATACTAGCTTTATTTTTTATTGTATAATCAGTCGTACCACTCAGCTCATTTGCTTTCTGTACCACATAATTCTTACCAGTTGCATAACAATTTTATTAGGTAAACTCCAACAAAATATTCAATTTATTCCCTTCTGTTTTAAGGGATATAATATTCTGTTTTCAGCTCTGTTTAGGTCAGTTTTGTTCATGCTGGATAGACAGTTTATTTAAACTATATAAACCATCAATAGTTGATAAAATTTCTCTCCCTTTCCTCAATCTTGATTGGATCAATTCCATGGCGGGGGGGGGGGATAATTTTCATATTCCTATTATCTGAGTTTAAAAGAGCTCTTGCATTTGGAGCTACCAAATATCACATTATCTTCAAATAATGTAAAATTCCCACAAGTGCTATGAAGCCTCTGAGTATTTGGTAAATCTTAATAATAAGAAGAACTAAAAATCATTACTAAAATAACTTCAATTGATGAAAATGCAGTAAAAATGGCATTTTCTTTTCCTTCAGATTAAGGAAGTGTGCATACAATGAAGTGATAGTTTATATGAAAAAAGTAACATTTCTGCTTCACAGGTGTGGTTTAGAAGCACCAGTGTCTGCCTTAGGAAGGCCAGCTGAAGAAGTTTAAGCTAAGTTTGACTGTGCTTCAGTTTTCTGGCGTAAGCACTTGTTATTGCAGAAACACCAACTCTTAACTTAAACTCTGTACCATTTGGTGTGTCCCACATCTAAGCAATTTATAGTCTTGCTTTATATGATGGATTTTTTCACTGATCTGAAGTAGTGAGCAGTAACTACACTGTACATTTGTCTTTCCAAGATAAAGCGCTGCTGATTCACAAATAAGATGGCTTTGTGCAGTTGAATGAATTTTACATGGTAGCACTAGCAAGTGAGCAAATAAACATGGTTGGATGGGATGACTACTATAGTACAATACAGTTACAATTACTTTTTTTTGAATGAAATCTAATGATTTAAAATAAAAATGATTTGTGATATTTCTACAGTGACACTCCAACCTTGGACTTTTCTGGGGAAAAAATGGTGCAGCTAGTTGTATGTGATTTGAAAGTTTTATGACAGTTGTGGATTGGTTCATATTAAGCCAGGTTTGAGTTTTTCTAAATTTCATTGCTATGACCATGGGTTTTCCTGAAGAGCATATCATAGAAATTACTTAGGGGTAAAAGAGTTATGGAAAGGGAAAGAGTTCTCATTCTGCGTAAATGATTAGGTTGGATTTAGCTTTGCTACTGTGATTATCTACCTAACTGGAATCTGTATCCAACTGGTGTTTACAGCTTTTTGACTCAGCATTGTGTTACATGTCCAGGTGTCATAGGTATTCAAAATTTATGTTTGTGGATCAAGTAATAAAACTTTTTGTTATTTTACTAATGTTAAAAAACATGTCCTTTACTGTGAAGAACGGAATATCTTTAAAAAGAAATTCTTCCACTTTTGATGTTTTAAAGGGCTGGAGAACCAGTGTGTGGGAGGATATGAAAAAATTAACTTTATTCCTTATAATAGTGATTAAAGTATTTGGCCCTTTTCATTTCTCTCAAATGTAATGTGATAATGTAATGCCATTAGTGTAACAGATCCTTAATTTCAAGTGTTAAAAGAACAATCACTTCTTCCATACTAAAGCTTTTGCACCTTTTATATGCCATTCTTACTGGAGGCAAAAAAAAAAATCATGCTAATGTAATTTAAGATGTGGAACTTAAAGAAAACAGGCAGGTCTCAAAAGTAATAAATATTCCACTCTTAAGTTTCAGACTTGTAATAGCTCAGTTACAAATTCTAAATCTTAACCTATATAACGTGTTGTAAGTAGTGTGCTTTGAAGTGCCTACAAACTGTCTCTTTTACTGAAGCATTGTTTTAAGGTTGTATGTTAATGTGGTGGTCTGTATGTAACACAGATGCTTGTTACTGTTTACAAGTTTCATCATGCTATATTGAATCATTAGCAAATATGATTTTCCCTGGGATCCATATACTATCACAGGGAGCCAAAACTGAGCTATATTTAAAATCTATGGTCAGGATAGGAGTTAGCTAAGGGCTTTTTAATGGCCTCTCATTTTGATGAGTTAACACCAACATTATCAATCTAGAATATAGCTTTACACTAGTGAATAAAAAAAAAAGTCAGCCCCCAAAATAGTCATCACAGTCTATGCACTGAAGTTAATGCACTTTACACACAGGAAACCTCCCTAAGATCCTTACGCCATCTTATTAAAGTTATATGTAATATGATTTCTAAGCTGATAGCAGATAGAATGGGCTGCTAGAAGCAGGCATAGTGATAGCAAGAGGTGAATGTTACAAATGAAATAAAAAATAACATTCAGAAATAGTGTAGTAATAAATAGCCTTACCTCCATCAGTAGCCCCTAAAAGAAATTAGTCTATGATAGCACAAAATACGATAGATATTTCTAATGATGCCAGTTTGTCAAAAGGTTAATTTAAGTACAGTATTCCTTTTACCAAAGTAGGGAGTATGTGATACATTTTAGAAAGTGAAAAAATAAAGTTTTGATACCTAAGTGGGTGGGCTTCAGTTACTGGGAAAATTCATTCACTCACGTGTAACAATATAACTCCCTCAACAATGCTGGAGGAATGGACGTGTTCCTATTCTTGTATTATATTTATTATGCCTCATGTAACAGACTGGCTTCTTTGGGTTGGTTACCCCTGAAATTACTGTAGCATGTAGGACTGTTCCATACCTTATAGGTGTTAAGTCCCTTTTGGCTCTAAATCCTATGAAATGTTAATATTGCAAATTCTCGTTTCTTGCTTGGATAGAGTGTCATTTTTCAGATCTATATTTCAGCCATGTTCCAATGAACAAAACACAAGAAAATAAATCTGATATTTACATGCATATGTCTTTATTCTGTGGGAGGAATTCTTTTCATCCAGAAAACATGGCCTCCCTCTTCCCCCTAGCCCTAGAAACAAACACATGTTTTTTATAAAAATGGATTTCAGTCCAAAAAGTTATTCCATTTGCAGCATAAAGTGTGGAAAGCATGAAAGGATTCTAGAGGGACCCTGGAAAATTTTTCACTTTATTCATGCAACTCTATGACTCAAATGACATTCATCTATAATTGTGTCCAACACAGTGGATGGCTGATGCTTCTACTGGCAAACTTAGGGGTAGATTCTACCCCATCCAGGTGGCAAACTCATGATGGACATGGACAAGAATCACATAAAATGGGTTTTGATCTGTATAGTTGGAAGAAACATCCAAAATAAGATCAGATTTGAGTATTCTGTTCAATGAATGTAGCTTATTGTATATAGGGCAAGCAGTGGAATCAAAGAAGACCCGAGTCAAAATCCTGCTATCCAACACCACCTTCTCCCTAAGCAGTTATTCTTCTAAAAAATGTTCTAAATAGGATTTATTAGAATTAACTGCATTAACTCGAATCTAAATAAATCTCAGGTTGAAATTTATTAACCTGAACAGATGGAAGTTGCTTAAGAACACTTATTTATTTATAATCATTGCATGTATTTTTATCAGTCTGTCTGTAAGGCCCAACAAATGCTTGCTATCTAGAGTTAGCCAGCACTGCTTATCTATAATTTGCTCCTGAAGTGTTTGTCCACATCTTTGCAGTGCTGAAGGAAATGAAGATAACACCCTGTATTTACCAAAGAAGAGGACAGTTTGCAGAGAAATCTTTATTTTCAATTTTATAAAAAGAAATACAAATAAATTCAAAGGATATTGATAAGTCTTGTCCACCTTAATGTCTTAACCATGTTAAGAACAACTTCTATGCCCTTTATGTAACAGCCTTCACTGTGGAAGAAATATTTAAATTGCAATAATACACAGTTGTGTTCTTTTTTATTATTCAGGGATGTTCAGGAAGAAAATGAATTCCACACTTAGATTAAAATCAAATTCTATCTTAACACAAGTGAGGTTTTTGCAATATATTGATTATGGGAGAGAAGATAAAGCCTATCTCAGCTTAAATAAAACTTTTAATAGTTTAATTTGAATTTTCCTTTATAATTTTGCCAGCTAAGTCCAAAATTACTTTTATACTCTTACTTCAATGATGGCTGTTATTAGCCTGTTTGAAGTAGGCAATATTAGGAAGCATCGGATAAAAGCAACACAGATGGGTGGGTCTTAAAATGGGGATAAGTATCCACACCTTTGAAACCTATATTAAATCATTCCTTAACTGCTAGACCCTCACATTTCCAAAAGGCCACAATATTGAATTGAATCTTAACGCTAGAATTTAATCTCAACATTTCAACCAATTGAATTACTTGGAAATAACAAAATTTTTTCTTTGGATGATGGTTTATACAGCACTAATAAAATAATCATCTTCCCAAGAGTCCCGGAAGGGGAAGAATAATTTACTACATTAGTAAATTTTTTTAGGATTAATTGTTTATACTCTTGGACTTCAAGACCAGATCTTTTTAAAAAGAATCAAGTTTATCCACACAGTCCCTTCGTAATAACTATATTATATATATGTATGTTGCAGAATGGTCTACACTAACAACAGTTTAACAAAATAATAGGGAAAATGAGGCAGTAGGGATAGTGCTTAACCTTTTTTAATAAAGTATTTCCACAGGAAATGTTCTGATTACATTTATGACATTTGAAATCATCAATTACATAAAACTAAAACACAGGTATATTTTTGTATTGCACATTTAAAGAGCTGCAAAAAGCTACAGCTTAAAAGGTCCTCATTCATGGCAAAAAATATATTTTTGCATCTCAGATTATGGAGAGGTTGAATAGTTTGGCTCATAAATGCACAATGATGCCAGGGGCAGCTTAATTGGAAAAAAAATGTCCTGCAAAAAATAGAAAGTAAACAAACCTACATATGAAGCTAATCATGAAATTAAAGTAAAATTTATTTTGAAGCTAATGAAGTCTTTCACCTGTATGAAGTTCCAACAGTCCCATTTTTTCAGTTTGAAGGCTAAAGTCATGGGCTCTGTTCTGGAGCCTGTATATAGTCCTGTGTGCTTCCTTGAGAGGCATGAGGTGGATGAGGAGGGACATAGTCTCTAGAACCTGAAGGTGTCAAGTCTCTTGTAAAAGGTGGAGGTGGGTAGTCCCTTGGACCATGGGCTGGAGGCGGTAATCGTGGGCCAGGAGGAAGGTACTCTCTTGGGCCAGGAGGGCCTAGAGGTTCAAAAGGTGGGTGTCCACGTATATACTCTCGAGGGTCAGGAGGTAGGTCCCTTGCTCCTGGTGGAAGGCCATGTAAGTACTCCCGAAAGCTTGGAGGTGGAGGACCAACAGGAACTAGCAAAGAAAAACAAAATTAAATTATGCAAAAGTTGTTATCATCTGACACTAATCATGAGAACTTGTGCTACACTTTGAGTAGCATAATAACATTCATAGATATAGTATTAAATGTTGAATTGAAGGCTATAAGAATATTCATTTCAATATAGAACCACAATATCTACTGAAATGAATTGTAAATTCATGTATATATATGGGTTTATTACCCTAGCACCTCAGACATAAAAGGTAAGAATTTGACCTAGTAACAACCCCTTTCCTCTGAATTGTGAGCTGCCTCAACTTCAAAATACTAGGGTTAGGCAGCAAGCCTATGTATAACTCAACCAGGTACATCTTTGCATTGCAAAGCACCTATAATGTGCTAGGTGGTGCTAAGCCCTGGAAATAAAAAGAAAGGCAAAAGCCAGTCCCTGCCCTCAAGGAGCTTACAATAGAACAGGGGAGACAACGTGCTAACAAGCTTTATACAAGATAAATAGGAAATTAATAATCAACAGAGGGAAGGCACTGTAAGATAAATAGGATATTAACAGGAAATTAATAATCAACAGAGGGAAGGTACTATTAATAGGAAATCA